AGTTTTAAGCCACCGGGTCTGGGACTTGAACTCTAGTCAACTACGTGGGAGTCCAGCATCATGACCATTATACCATCTGCTGGTCCCCCCAAATTTTTTGCAAGCACAAATGGGGCTGGACAGTGACACAGTGGTAACACAACACTCTGTGAGGCTAACCCACATGAGAAGGTTCCAGGTTCATGTCTGGAAACCTTCCTGAACACACTGGCGTATTCCCATGCCCATGATCTGGGCTGACTGGGGCTGGGGGTGGACGACAGAGTGAAGGCCCCGTTGGGGGTACTGTATTTCTGTCCCCCTCACTCATGGAAACTAGAAAGAAACTGGGAATAAAAAAAAAGCCTTTAAAAACTGGCAAAATGAAACAGGCCTTAAAATTTGAGTATAGGGCTGGTCCTGTAGCACAGTCATTAAGGGAGCTGTATCCCATATGGCTGACCACAGTCTGAGTTCACCCTGTGGCTTGAAGCACACAGAGTGTGTGTGCATGCATGCCCAGTATCCTGACAGGATGGAAGAATGGAAGAAAAGGGATTTCAGTATGGCCATGCCCCATTAGGGGATGCTTTCTTTCTCTCTCTCTCTTTCTCTTTTGAGCACACATTCCCACTGGCAATTTTTAAAAATTCAGGAATAAGGTGAGAAATGTGATCCCTTTGCTGATTGGCTGATGAACCTGAGTCATAAACTGAACTTAACCTTTAAAAGCAGTAGAAGGAAAATTGCATACATGTCATGGCTACAATGATATAAAAAGTCTATTTGTGTGTGTGTTGTACAAACACATGGGAAGCAACAAGGAAAATCAAAGTGGCTGAGTTATTATGGCAGTAAATGCTGGGTACTTTTAATGTAAATTTTGAATTCCATGCAACATCATTCTTTTTGAGCAATAAGTGCAAAATTTTGAATGAATCAAGTTTAAGCAATCCTTAAAAATACTTTACATTGCGTCCAAACGTAATCTTTGTCTTAGGCCACAATGGTTAGTACACAACAAACATTCAGGTATTTTGGCAATTATTTTCTTCAAACATAAGCCCCCCTCGATCCAGATAGATATGTTCCACACCTTTGTGCCACTATTATTGAAAAGAGCTCAGGACGTGAATGCCGAAGTATTCCTCCCCCAGACTCCCTATCACCGTGGGTCTGGATAGCCAATGCCCAGTAGCAGTGGTTTTTACTTTTTTGATTTATTAGCTGAGACTGCCATCACCCTCACATGACCACTTTTGTATCCACTCAGTGCCCCCCCCCCAACTCCATCCATTCAGGCATAAATAACCTAAGCTGGCATGGGACCCTGACCACAGCTGCAGCCAGGCTCAGCTGAAATTAAATCTCTGATTAGATTAAAGTGATAGATCCCTCAGCCTATCAGTCTAACAGAAAGAAGGAACCCTCACTGGTGGAAGACACTATCTGGGGTGTTTCTATGTCATTTATACACAATATCCAGCATGTAATAAAATATTATTAGAAACATGAAGAGGCAGGAAAAGTGACTAATAATAAAGAGAAAACAAAACAGTAGAATTTCATGTCATCATTAATTTGAGATATTTTAGGAATGCAAGGCTAGTTTAATGTTAACAGTTTAAAGGGGAAAAGTCACACAATGAACTCAGCAGATGAGGAAAAAATGCATTCAGTTAAAGTTAACATCCACTCACAAAAAGTAATCTTTTTAAATGTCTTTGTATGTAACCACACATTCTGAATTGTACAAGGTTGGAATGTATCTTATACATTATCTAGTCCAAATGTACTATGTAAGTGTAGGTAAATGGTATTACATCCTTGTTAACACTTATGCATCTGTCACATTACGCTAAGCTATCGAGTCATTGGAAAAGTCATGACGTATTTTTCTGTTTTCTAAGCAAAAATACATCATGACTTTTCTGGTGACCCAATACACTGTAATAAAAAATGACCCTTCCAAAATCTCAGTAGGTTACAAAAACAAAGGTTTATTTCTCACCTTAATGTTCATTATGGATCAGCTATAGTTCTAGACCATGTCCTTTTCTCTTTGAACCCAAGTTCACGAACCTGAGCTAATGGATCAGCCTCTGTCTCATGGCAGCCCTCATTGGTTGAGAGGAAAGAGGCCAAAATCAAACCCTGGCTGGCTCTTTTGTTGTTATTATTCCTTTTTGAGAGAGAAGGAAGAAGAGAGCAAAAGAAAGAAAGACAGAGATAGGTATTTTTTGACAGGCTCTCACTGGGTCGCCTCCTCTTTGTCCAGCCTCCCAATTAGCTAGTATTAGGGACACACACAGCCCTGCCCAGATGTCCAGGTTGGCCCGAGCTAAACCCAAGCCTCCCATGCAGCTTCCAGCCTCCCCAGCCGAGTCCCCTGCTGGCTCTTAAAGCTTCCACCCATAAGTAATATTCCATTTTTTTCCATTCATATGTCATTGACCAAGACAAGTCACACTTGGAGAAGTATCATCCTCCCAAGGGGAGAGGGCCTGCAGGTCACAAGGCAGAGCCTGATCTGAATGATGTGGTGTTCTCAAACTCTTCTTTGCCAAATAAATTAAGCAAGGAGGAGAAAATACCGTTACTTCTTGTTTCTTGAAAAAGAAAGAATATCTGTGACCTTTGTCTTGGAGATGAGAGTGGGTATTTTGCTTTCAAAATATCAAGTTTTGCATGTGGTTAATCGAAAATAATTATTGACACAAAAGTTTGAAGGAGGGTAACTGTGACAGATGTAATTTAAGTTATTTATACAAATTCAGTTAGATGCACGTCAATAAAAGGTCAGTATACTTCCTTTGGTTAGCAAAGTATAGTTTACTTCTTAGATTTTAAAAAATAATTCGTGTGGGGTCAGTCCCATAGCCTAGTGGCTAAAGAAGCCAGATCTCATATGGCCAGACCATGGTTAGAATCCTGGCCCTGGTGGCTTCAAAAACATGCTGGCCATGTGGAATTAGGGTAAGTGTACTCCAGGCAGAAGCAACAGTCACGGCAAAGGCCCTGTGGCAGGAATATGCCACAGAGAGCAGAGGGTCAGAGAGCAGCAGGGAGACCAGGCCACTGAGTGCAGTCTGTAGCAAAGGGAGAAAGTATTACTAGTACGTGAGAGGGAACCAGCAGTTAGCGTAATGGCTATGTTGCTGGACTCCCACATAGTCGACTGCGGTTCACGTCCCGGACCCGGTGGCTTAAAACTCACGCCGGGCGCGTGTGCGTGCGTGCCCAAGATCCCGAGAGGAGAATGGAGGAGAAGGG